GCACGAGTGCGCCGGCTCGCTTACCTCTCTTTCGACGTCTCACTTTCCTGATTAGAGTCTGCAGTAAATCTGCCGCAGATGCGACAAATATTGGAAGTAAATCCACAGGTGTTGTAGTCCTGTGGTTAAGAAGCTCTTCTCTGGTGTAAGAGTATCCAGAGGAGTGCCCAGACACAGAAGTTATGCACAAAAACAAGACAGAAGTAACGCACTGAAGCACCAGGGCATCCATACACGGCACCATCTTGGAGAAGGTATGGGATAAGATGTCCCGCAGAGTGAAAACCAAAGGGCCAACAAGTGCTCAGCATCTCTGGGAACTCCTTCAAGACTGTTGGAAAACCATTTCAGGTGACGACCTCATGAAGCTCATGGAGAGAACGCCAAGAGTGTGCAAAGCAGGAATCAAAGCAAAGGGTGGTTATTTGAAGAATGTGTGTCCAAAACCTTTGACTGGTAGTGTATTTCCTCTTGATTGTATGTGTTGTATATTTTTCTCCTGTTTGTTATTTCCTCCTGCCTGGCTCAGAGTCTCCACTCTAATTCATCCCAGAGGTGTTCTGTCAGTTTGAGGTCTGGACTCTGTGAAGGCCAGTCAAGTTCTTCCACACCACACTGGCTCATACATGTCTTTAAGGACCTTACTTTATGAACTGGTGTGCAATCATGTTGGAACAGGAAGGTGACGTCCACGAACTGTTCCAACTGAATTGGGAGCATGAAGTTCTCCAAAATGTCTTGGTACGCTGAAGCATTAAGAGCTTTCACTGCTGGCGCCTGTTTAGATCTGAGATGAGGAGGGGCTAGAGGCATGAGAGCGGCCAACCCAGGTTTAAAACTGACCCATGGCCATTTGCCATGTCTTCCCTTCTCTCTCTCGACTCTGCAGAAAGATGGCAGCCTCTGCATGTGCCTCAGCATCTGCTGACCCCACTCTGCAACTTTAAGCAGCCTAACACTTGCCATCATTTCCATTCACTTCTGCTATGCTGAGCATGAACAGAATACTCTGTTAGGGTTGAAAATTATATTTTTATTAAATGATTAAGCAAAGCTTTTTTAATTATCTTTTATACACACTACAATTGCGCTTATATGAGTTGGCATTCCGTCTTTTGAAGGTTCAGAGCTTCATTCATTGATTGTCTGAGTTGATATATTGCAGGATGACGTAGAAGTGCAAAAAGATATGCAACATGCTTACACAAATCACAATTGATAATAAGTAGCAGGATATTCTCTGGACAGGGAGTCCGAAAAAGATGTCCTGAGTGGAGCCTTAGAATCAGCAGCTAGCCAAGGCTACATAGGGTGCATTTTTGTTTTGTCTTTCCAATTCCAGGAAAGGAGCATATAGGAGGTCGAGGAGCTGAACGGACACGGGGGAGGATTTTGCAGAAGCCATCAGGATGGGTGTTTGAAGAAGCTAGCCATAGTCATTTGTTGTTGTTACTGTATAAAACCTGTGCAGCCATTTCAGGGCCAACCTTGGTGCGAGGCAGTATGCTGTATCATATTCACGGTCCATAGTGCTATGTCACACTTGTAATTTCAACTGCCCAGCAAATTAAATCTTTTTAAATGACACAACATTCCCCCGGATTCCTTCTGAAAAATTTGAAACAAGTAGTTTTCAAAGACGGGGTGATAGTGGCTCAAGAGTTAGCAGTTCGTCTTGTAATCGGAAGGTTGCCGGTTCGAGCCCCGGCTTGGACAGTCTCGGTCGTTGTGTCCTTGGGCAAGACACTTCACCCGTTGCCT